CTGCTTCTCCCTCTCCCACTCCCCCTGCTTGTGTTCCCTCTCTCGCTGTCTCTCTCTCTGTCAAATAAATAAATAAAATCTTAAAAAAATAAAGAAATAGATAAAATTAAGAACTTCTGCTCTTTGAAAGACATGAGTGAAAACACAAGCCACATATATAAAGATAAGCTACATATATAATGATAAGGGGCTTAGATCCAGAAAACAGAAAACTCCCAAATTTCAACAATAAGAAACAAAGCGATCCAATTAAAAATGGGCAAAAGATTTGAGCAAATTCTTCACCAAGAAGATACAAGGATAGCAAGTAAGCACACAAAAAGATACTCAACCTTAGTCACTAGAGAAATGCAAATTAGGGACGCCTGGGTGGCTCAGTTGGTTAAGTGACTGCCTTCGGCTCAGATCCTGATCCTGGGGTCCCGGGATCGAGTCCCGTGTCGGGCTCCCTGCGCAGCGGGGCGTCTGCTTCTCCTTCTGACCCTCCCCCCTCTCATGTGCTCTCTCTCTCGTTCTCTCTCTCAAATAAATAAATAAAATATTTAAAAAAAGAAATGCAAATTAAAACCACAACGAGATACTACTACGTATCTGTTAAAATGGATAGATTAATAAAGAATGACCTCACCAAGGATGTGGAGGAACTAGAAATGTCATTCTGCAGGCAGGGAGGTGAAACAGTACAATCATTTTGGAAAAGTTTGGCAATATCTTAAAGAGTTAAACATACACTGACCCTATGGTCCAGTCATTCTACTCCAAGGTCTATACCCAAGAGAAATTAATGCAGATGTCCATACAAAGACTTATGAATGAATATCTACAGCAGCTTTATTTGTAATAGCCCTGAACTGGATAAACAAATTGTTGTCTATCCATACAGTCGAATACTACTCCGCAAGAAAAAAGAATCAACTCATGATACACACCACATCGATGAATCTCAAGATAATTATGCTGAGGGAAAGGAGCCAGTCAAAAAGAACATCATGTATAATTCCATGTATATAAAATTCTATAAAATGCAAAGTAACCTACAATGACAGAAAGCAGATCACTGATTGCCTGGCAAAGAGGGAAGACGAAGTGGGATGGTAAAGGGGGATGAGGAATCTTCTGGAGCCACAGGCATATGTTCACTATTGTGTGGCAATGTGCACCACACATCAAAACACAAAATTGTTGGGGCGCCTGGGTGGCTCAGTCATTAAGCGTCTGCCTTCGGCTCAGGTCATGATCCCAGGGTGCTGGGATCGAGCCCCGCATCGGGCTCCCTGCTCCGCGGGAAGCCTGCTTCTCCCTCTCCCACTCCCCCTGCTTGTGTTCCCTCTCTCGCTGTGTCTCTCTGTCAAATAAATAAATAAAATCTTAAAAAAAAAACATAAAATTGTTCACTTTGAAAACATGTCAGTTGAATGTCAATTATACCTCAATAAAGCTGTTTAAAAATTGTGATGAGCCTAGAACATCTTGTTACACCAAAAAGTGAGAAGGCTAGTCGTTTTGTCAAAAGGATTCAGGGGCTAACGTGAACAGGCACCACTAGCCAAAAATGGGAAATGTAAGTGTCATTTAGGATACTAACTAGAATGGATTGAAAGAGAACAAATAGGTTTAATTATTTTATTTTATTTTCTTAAAGATTTTATTTATTTATTTGACAGAGAGAGAGACAGCAGAAGCAGGGGGAGTGGCAGGCAGAGGAAGAGGGAGAAGCAGCCTCCCCACTGAGCAGGGACTCAATCCCAGGACCCTGGGATCATGACCTGAGCCAAAGACAGACGCTTAACCGACTGAGCCACCCAGGCGCCCCTTTATTTTATTTTTTACAAGATCTTACTTATTTTTTTTAATTTTTTCAAGATTTTATTTGTTTATTTGACAGAGAGAGAGGGAACACAAACAGGGGGAGTGGGAGAGGGAGAAGCAGGCTTCCCGCTGAACAGGGAGCCCAATGCAGGGCTTGATCCCAGGACCCCGAGATCATGACCTGAGCCGAAGGCAGACGCTTAACGACTGAGCCACCCAGGCGCCCCAGATCTTATTTATTTATATGAGAGAGATAGAGAGCATGAGCAGTGGGAGGGGCAGAGGAAGAAGGAGAAGCAGACTCCCCACTGAGCAAGGAGCCCACCACGGGGCTCAATCCCAGAATCCCAGGATCATGGCCTGAGCCAAAGGCAGACGCTTAACTTACTGAGCCACCCAGGCACCCCAATTTTATTTTTTTAAGTGAACTCTACACCCAACATGGGGCTTGAACTCACAACCCCGAGATCAAGAGACGCATGTTCTATCAACTGAGACAGTCACATGCCCTGAGAACAAATAGTTTAAATCCATATGTTCATAATGATGGATATAAAATATGTTTTATGTTGGCACCTGGCTGGCTCAGTCCACAGAGCATGCAACTCCTGATCTCAGGATTGTGAGTTCAAGCCTCATGTTGGGTGTAGAACTTATTTTTTAAAAATTAAAAATAAATAAAATTAAAACAAAATAAGTAAAATATTTTGTGGTCATAATGATAACAACAATAAAAAATCTCATTGATCAATAACCTTTGGACTATACTAGGGAACCAATTAATTATTTTGAAAACTGCTAAAAATAGAGTCACGAGTTTATCCTGCCTTTCTTCTATGACATGTACCTCATGTAATTAAATTAATCAATGAAGGGATGTTCCTCTTACAGGTATTCCAGCATAAATGGTGAAGTGATGTCACCATTTATAGCCCCTAATCAATGCAATAATATTAATGGCTGCAAACACCACAAAATGAGACATGAGCACTCATTGTGATTCTCCTTATGGAGGTACACAATTCCACATAAGTAATCTTGTTTAAAAAAAAAAATCAGGGGCGCCTGGGTGGCTCAGTCGGTTAAACATCTGCCTTCAGCTCGGGTCGTGGTCCCGGGGTCCTGGGATCGAGCCCCACGTCTGGCTCCCTGCTCTGTGCGAAGCCTGCTTCTCCCTCTCCCACTCCCCCTGCTTGTGTTCCCTCTCTCGCTGTGTCTCTGTCAAATAAATAAATAAATAAAATCTTAAAAAAAAAATCAAACCTGATCTGATGAGACCCCTTAGTTCTAACTACCAATATGCAGAGAACACAGGAAGCAGAGGAAGATGTTAAAACAATTCCATGCAGATGCCACCAGCAAGATCCAGCCTGAGGAAAACTCAACAGGACAAACCACCTACTTTCTTCAAAAAACAAATAAAGAGAGAAAGAAAGGAAAAGAAATGAGAAGAACATGAAA